CTTTTCAAAAAGAGTATTTGTTGATAGAGCATAGGAAGGACTATATTTGCATCAGCTTAGAACTGTCACTGTTCAATAAGCCATTTATGTGATATTACTGCTAAAGAGAAATTATGACATCATATGGCATCAACTTTTATGTTACCAAATTACAAACTGTAGGTGTTTTGGTGATGTTGGTAGCTCAAATTCCTTAATCAGAACAACATTCAATAATTTCCTTCTCCTCAAAGAAAGTTTTAGGAGACAAAATAAAGCAATCTTGACTGGTGTAATATAGTTTCAGGTTTCAATGCAGCTTTTACAACAAGGATGAATTACACATTTACAATAAAGTTATTTTATTTCAGTTATGTAAACCCTCAAAAGGAAACTGTTGAAAATAATCATTATACTGAGAGGTACATGTTTCTGTAAATTTGCTTAATTTGGATAATGGCCAATGAATAATTTAGATCTGAGAAAAATGGATTCAAGTTAAACAATCAGAAGCAAATATGAATGCAGCAAAATAATCCAAATGATTAGTACAATTTAGCCACAAATAATTTTTGTGACTTGCAGTCTACAATTTATTGGTCTCTTGAGCAACTTTTTCTTGCAAGCTTCCTTTTAACAGAAAGAAACCTCCTGCAGAACCAGGCTCAGTGTGAGCGGCTAACTGTTGAGACCGACTGGGGTTCAATTAGACAGAAGCAGCCAGAGAAAAAGAAGCAGAGATGGATACTCTCACACACAGAGTTGAATAGAGCTCAAGAACTGTGACAGTTATAGCTCCTTTCTAAGAGTTTGGGTCTGATGATGGGTTTTCAAGCCTGGATTACAGTTTCTTCTTCTTTGTGAGGTTAAATGGCGGTTGGCAAATAACTTGCATATGCTCACCACCACCTGTGTGGAACAAAATGACAGTAGCTATTCTAGCTAATATATTTACTTGCTATACTGTTATATCCTAAATATAATAATTAAATATCCTCTATCTAATTTAAATAGTATTTATTATTAACAGTATCCTAAATGTTTTTTTTTATTCTTATTTGAATTAATAAAATTCTCTTGATGTACCTTTTATCTATCAAAATTGTTTAATTTTCTAATTCATATATTAATTAAATCACTTTCATTTGCTACAAAACATCTCACGTTAGTTTGTATTATTAACACCTGAACTAATAACTAGATGCTCCTGTTCTTCCATCCACTTCAAACCTTGTAACTGTGTTTTCCTAACTGACTTTTTTGGGTCCCAAAAACAGTTTTAGCTCCTCTCGCAATGATTCTCATTATCATCTTGCTTGCATGCTTGGCCTGGTCTGCACAGTTAAGGACATACATTATGAATAAAATGAGTTTCTCATGTGTCAGAGGGAAGTTATATTCTCTTTCTCCTTTGTTTTGCTTTTAACCTGATTCTGTGCTTGATTCATTTCTCCTGTTCTTTGTTCCTGAACTCTCTTCACCGCATCTGCATAGCTTATATATTTTTTTTGTCATTTTAATGTATTGAACTTCTTTATTTCTTCATCACTAAAATTAGTGTTGCTTCGGTGTAAGTTTGCCAAAACAATGACTCCGTAATTTTGTCTGGTCCCCTCCCTGATCTGACCAGTGACAGCAGGTTTAGCCGCATGTCGTCATTCAACCGCTGGTTGTCTAGGTGGTGTCCTGAAAACAACATGGGCTACATTAATAGAGACGGCATCCTTCCCACTTTGGATGCCACAGCTCTTCCTTCTAGGAATCTTGCCAAATGTATTTTTCCTCCAAAACACTGACAAGCCAGGGTGCAGACCAGGAAGCAGAGTCGTAGTTTAAGACACCTTTCGGCAGCTTCTACTGTTACCCACAATTACTCCAGACAGTGTGTTGCCCACAGCCAAAACAAATCAATTAGAAGAGAATCCCAAAGCAGTAAATCATGATAATCTGATAAAAGTAAAAACAAATCCAATTGGGGAAAAAGTGAAAATGATTAAATGTGGTTTATTTAAAATAAGATGTCCTTCTTGAAAAAGTCTGCTAGTTAACGTCTTGATTTGTGAAAATCCCATTGATTTATGTTGCCTTACAGAAACTTGAGGAGGATTATGTGAGCATAAATGAGGCAACTTCTTCTAGTTATTTCAATTTTCACATACCCAGAAATTATGGGCGAGTAGCAACAACCTTCCAGTCTGGCTTACTGATTACTCCAAAGGTGGTTAATAATTACAACTCTTTTGAACATTTAACCCTTAGTTTCCTCATCCAAATTTCAAAGCCACAAAACCTCTTCTTTGGTTACTTTGTATTGTCCACCAGGTCCTTACTCTGATTTTCTAGATGAGTTTTTAGAGTGAATGTTGAGAAAGCAAAGTAGATCATCGTCCACTTCTGGAAGAACCAGCCTAACCACGCTCCACTGCTAATCAACAGCTCAGCAGTAGAGGTGGTAAGCAGCACCAAATTCCTAGGGGTGCACATCAGAGACAACCTCACCTTCTACAGAAGCACCATAGAGAGCGTTCTGATCAGCCAAGATGAGAGGAGTAGTGAGAAGAGTAGTGAAGAACAGCAGAAAAGATCATCAGGGCTCCTCTTCCCTCCATAAATGACATTTCATCTCAGCACTGCATGTCCCGAGCGTGTAACATCATCAATGACCCCACACCCCCACCATTCTCCCTGCTGCCCTCTGGGAAGAGGCTTCAAAGCATCCAATGCAGGTCCAGCAATTTACTAAACAGCTTCTTCCCCACCGCCATCAATCAGCTGAACTGTTGAAAAATCATATCAGAGGTTCTGCATCCAATACACTGCATAATTGTACCATATGTATTTAATGCTCTGAACTTCCATATCAATGCATATTTTTTGCATTATGTTTTTTTCTCCCACACTGTTTAAATTTGATTTGAAATTTGCAACACTCCAAGAAATGTCCTGAGAGCTCTACAAAACGAAATTAGAGAATAAAAGTTGTCTCAGTCTAAGTCTACAAAAGTGTAGCCTTTAATCTTAGATTCTATTGCCTTTGTTTAAAACGTGAATAGCCCACTCATTCTCATCTTAATACTTTGGACCTTGTGCTGATATACAGTATGGCATTGAATGTGAAGATTTAACAGTATTTTCTCACAACCCTGTCCTGACCACTTTTTTTTTTTTTTTAGAACCTTCAGGATTACTTTACAAGGTTTCTCCTCCCCCAAAATAAGGTTTGACTTAAAGGAATAGTACACCCAAAACATGATTAGCCTTCATTTTCTACTCACCCCCATGCTGAACAAAACTCTGGAGTACGCGCCCACGATTCTACGGAAGCCGGCAGACCAAACCAGCGCATTCAGCTCGGCAAAGAACTCATGCTCTTCCTCAACACTGAAGTCCTCAGACATTTTTCTTTCGTTGTTTCTTTCTTTGCACAGGTAAACAGCACATTTCTTCTTCTACGCTTGCATTATCGGCAGAGCAGACGCTGAATGCGCACTTTCTTCCGGTTTGGTCTGCCGGCTTCCGTAGAATCGTGAGCGCGCATGGGGGCGCTATTAGGAAATCCTATACACTACTGTTTAGGCTCTAAAACGTTCTAAATGACTTTGTTTCGAGTAAATTCTGGATGCTACCCACTCAGGACACTTGGATTACATTGGACGAGCAGTATGGAGGAATATTGACACGTTTTTGTGGACTTTTATGGACCTTTCTGTCTCGGGCGCCATAGACCTCCATTATTTGAATGTCAGCAGACAGCAAGAAGCCTCCCAGATCTCCAGATGCATTTGAGATATCAAAAAAGTACTCCAGAGTTTTGTTCAGCATGGGGGTGAGTAGAAAATGAAGGCTAATCATGTTTTGGGTGTACTATTCCTTTAAGTAGATCATTATCAGATAGTGCAGTTATACATTTTAAAGAATCTGTTTCACTTTCTTTTTTTTTGTCTCTCCTCTGTGTGGCTGAGCAGTGCTGCAAAGGGACAACAGAGGTTTAGCTTATTTCCCTTCTTTTGTTGATTATTATGTTGATGGTTCTCTGTGTACTGCCTTAGACAACGCAGTCCTTTTGAAAAAGAAAAGCTTTAAAAAAAGAAATTTGGCTCACAGGTTAAATGCAGAGCTGCACACTCTGAAGCAAAATGCTAGGATACTGGAGAGAAAATGGCGTTCTACATGCCTCCGGAAATCCTACCTTGTCTGGAAATTGTTTTTACTGCTGTAAGAGTGCCCTTCGTAAAGAGCAGCAGTTTTTTCCTCATTAATAGAGAAGAATGAGAATAATCCTAGATATCTTTTTAATACAGTTGTCAAACTCACCCAGAGCCATGGCTCTGTTGAACTATCCATCCCACCCATTTTTTTTTAGGAATTTAAGGAACAGCACTAGACTGGTTTAAATCATATCTATCTGACCAATTTCAGTTTGTTCATGTTAATAAATCTTCCCCTTGTTCCAGGGTTACCAGTAAAGTACCGCTCGTACACCCTTGCTTTCCCTTACAAACTGCTGCCTGGACTACAGCTGCTGTCCATGCCTTGTAAACCTCCCCATAACCTTAGAATGGGTTAATACATTACAGTTCTACTGTTCATTCTTGTTGTTGAGCATATTTTTGTATCACACTTCTTCTTTGAACTCAACCTTTTATTTATAATTTCTTCAGCAATTTTTTCATTAAAGGTCAAATGTCCTGTGATTAGTTACATGGATTGTACAGTATGCATTTTTTCCCTTGTTTTTCTTTCAGGTATCACAATTAAGAGCTATTCAGTCATGATAATGGACATTGTAATTTAACTTATTAATAAGTAACATCATCTCAAACAACTCTAATACCTGATTTGATTTAGAAGAAAAGCAAAATAATAATAATAACAATAATAATAATAATAATAATAATAATAATAATAATAATAATAATAATAATAATAATAATAATAATAATAATAATAATAATACTAATAATAATAATAATAATAATAATAATAATAATAATATGTAATACACGGTAATTCTCTCAAAATTAAATTTCTGACATTTTTAATGCAGTTGTCTTTTATTTGAAGCTTTTGACCTTTTCCCCAGAATAGTTATTTGACAATTCAGAATAATACAGTTAAAAAGATACCCCTTCTCCCCTTGTAATTTCTGCAAAATGATGTTTCAATCAAACCATGTGTAATGAGTTAATATCTATGTAGCTATGAATTATTTCATTCTTCTTGGTGTCTGTAGAAAAAGACTCCTTGTTGCTTCTAATCAATGTTTCCCTGTTCAGTTGCTCCAGTTTGTTGTTTCTTACTGCCTACATTTTTAAGACTGTATGATGGTATCTTTGAGAGAAAATAAAAGTGGATACAAATGCAAGAACAGATTACGGGTCTACATTCCCTCTCACAAAAACATAGAACTGTAAAACTATTGATACACATTTCCTTGTCTCTGCAGTTTGAACAGTTGTACCAAATTCTCTCCTGTTTTACAGAACAGAAATTCAGAACAGAACATTACAGAACAGAAGTCACATGGGAGGTATCAGCTACTTCTTAGGCAAGACGCAGGTCTCAAAGTAATCTCGGACGTTCCCAGCAGGACGGTATTGTGCAACCACATAGACTTCTGGACCCCTAGCGGCAAAGCCCACACCAAGCTCTTTGGAGTCTTTCCACACCAACTGAGTAAAATGTCCTACAGGATAAAAAAAAAAAAAGTGAGTGAGCCAGTCCTATAAAAAGACTATCACTTGCTATTTTCATTCGGCCATTTTCAGAATCTTTTCATTAATACCAGTATTGACATTTCTCTTCTAACAGAATAGTAATTTTTTACAGAACTATTTCTTAACCAAAGAAAAATTATAAAAATCTTGAGCTCTTTCACACAATGTGACAAAATCTAAAATGCAAAGCAGCATGTCATTCACTCTCTCTCTCTCTGTCTCTCTTGGATTTGGAAAACAAAGGTATTTGGGAGGAAGGTGTTGTCCAAATCGTTATCATACATTTTTAATAGATATATGTTTATGATAGAATAGCAGTTGTTGAATGCATTTTCTTTTACCAGTTTTACTGTCGAACCCAGGTTTCTTGAAGTTATAATCTTGGATTTCACGGTACCAATTTTCTACAGCTTCTTTTCCTGAAACGGATTAGGAAAATGCAATGTAAAAAAAATCAGAACAGAACACCAGGTTTATTTGGCCTTTTATCATACATCTGTATGAATATGAGGTGTTACTTTCAAATCAAATCCAGAAAAAAACAAAAAAATATGATGCACCTGTTTGTTTACGGGGTGGATCGCTGTAGAAGTAGAATATATTTTCTCCATCATCAGTTCGACTATGTTCAGGTTTGCGTTTTTGAAGTAAGTAGTTAGCCCATTCCTGTGCCTTTTTATTCATTTCGTCGTTATATTTCAGTGGGGGAGCATTATGCATTTCCCTGTATTTGTTATGGGCTTCCAGAAACTCCTTTCGGTAGGCTTTATCTGAATAAAAGTCATAAACAATCATACTCAGAGGAAATGGGTTTCACTGGTGTTGAAAACAAGAACAGCAATGAGGTAAATCATCTTAACAATTGAAGTCATTGGAAAAGAAAGCGCTTACCTGCCATTGTTTGGCTGTCAATAGAGTCTGAAAAGGAATGTAAAGCCAAGTGTACAAGATTCAGCAACAGTCAAATAAACCTACAAATGCAATCAAAGAGATCTAAATTTGGTAGGCAAATGTTTTGTAAAAACCTCACACTCTAAATATTTGACAGAAAATATAGACAAAATGTTTCAATTAGACTACCTTTCCCTAAATCTCACCTCTTTTAATCAAAAGGTGACAAAAGGTTACCTGGTGAAGATGCAGTGTCTTCTGCTGTGTTGAAGCTACTATATATGGACACAAGTTTAACCCAATCCTTTCTCACAGCTGCAAGTAGGAGGAGATTAACATGGTGCTGCTCCTACATATTTCCCTAGGAGTTACTGTAATCACACTTTTTTTCGTACATTCCTCAGTTACTATATTGTCTGTCTGTCAGTTACGTTTTTCAAAACATAAAAGAGGTCAGGGTTTCAGCAATTCTAAATGTGTGTTGTCAAATGAAGAAAGTAAGAGAGAACTGTAATCTAGTCAACCACAGCATTTATTACATGTTTTGTACAGACATGCATGTCTCTGGGAAAACTATGATAGTTAGTTAAAACATGTCCCTCATAAAAACTCTTATCAGAGCCCCTTCAAAGCATTTTGCATTTTATTGTAGCTCTTTGATGGTTTTGATTCCACAGAACCTTACCAAATACTCCCTGTAGGATGAGGCACTTGCAGCTCATGTTTCAAATATTTATTTATTTTCCAGGTCAAGTTTGTTTTGGAAATGTTTGTATTACAGGTTCCATTTTTAACCTAGGAACACAGTATCTTAAAAGCAATTACTTGAGAAAGCAAAGGAACCATGAGCCACACCTTTTTCAAGCTGCACATTCCAAGAGAGACAAAACAAATAACAAATTCCAGAAAAAAAAAAAGGTTTTGTAATTTTTTTTTAAAACGTGATAGATTTAACGTATGATATCCTAGTTTTGTTTCAATATGCAGTTTTAACAAACTCTGAGTAAAATCATTGACTCGTTTAATCAACTCTGAATAGGTCCAAGTTAAATCAATGTATTCAAGCCCATGCTCATTAATGTCTATATCCGAGGAGCCCCGATTTCAAGAGTCACCATGACAACAGGCAGGAGATCTGCCTATAGTATGCTACCAGAACTACAGGTATTAATGCTAAACAAAATAAAAAAAAATGTGTTTAAAGCCGGGCATACACTGTGCCATTTTCGGGGCGATTTTCCAGTCGTGCGCAAATCTTTCTATCGTGCCGACTTTCAGCCTGATCGTGCATCGTGTAATGTACAGGGGGTAACGAGGGCCGATCAGCCTCTCACGGCCACCTCCCTATCAGGAATCGGTTGGGAGAAAATAAAAAATGTTGATGATTGAGGGTCTTGGGCAAATCGCTCAATGGGCATGCGCAAAAAAAGGATTCTTCTTTTTCTTCTTCCTCTCTGATGTAAACACAGAAGCGTGGCAGGGGATGCACTGATTGTAATTGAGTTTGTAGCTGCCATCATTTTGTTCCGCATGTCACGTTGTTGTCCATGGGAAAGATTGATTGACACAATTCTTTTTTGCAGCTGTTTTTCAAAAAGTTTCACCAGAAAGCTTTAAGACTGTTTTTTGTGAGAAAAGCTGTGTAAATGATCTTTATTCCTATGGAGTTTATGCGGCCAATGAGGTATGACTTTTTTTTATTTGTATTTATTTGTGTAAACCTTTATATTTGTTTGGCGCTAATTTGGGTTTCTGTTTCCCTTCTTAGTTCTGATGGCATTTATGGGCTAAGACGTGTCCACAATAAATGGCTCTTAAAACCAAAAGAACAACATTGAGCCTTGATTATCTGGAGAGGAGTAACAGAGTTCATTCTGTAATATTAACAGACCGTAGTAGCCACGTTTGGTCAGCAATGTCTTTGTCCAAATAAATTGTTGCCTTTTCTTTTTTGCACTTTCAGCACAAAATTGCACAAACTGCCAAGGCAGCACGTTTCACTATAGTGAGCTTCATATTCCCCTTCTATTTGTTTGGCTTCCGGATAGATGAGTCAAAGCAGCTCCATCTCACTGCAGAGCTGAGTCTGACGTGCTTTTTAGAGGGTACAGTGTGACAAGGTAGATCGCATGAGAGCCTCGTGCTGCACGTACATCGTGAGCTGTTAACTCACACTACAGTAGCTATGAGTAACGATTGAAAAAATCGCACAGTGTACTCCTGGCTTAAAAGAAAGAGCAACAACGCAACAGCTGCAAAGAAGAGGGACATTTATCAGCTGGACTGAATATATATTCCTAATATCTTAAATATATTTCCTCCTGGTTAAAATAATAAAAACTCCTACCAGTAACACTAGGAATATGGAGGGAATTTAAATTTAGACATCCAGAAACTTTAGGATAAGATGAATGTCATTTTAGATACCCCAAACTGAAGGCGGTATGCGGTCCGGGGCCCTCTGTTAAGGGCTGTCCGCTCTTTGTATGACCAAAGCAGGAGCTTGGTTGGCATTGCCAGCAGTAAGTCAGCTCTATTCCCTGTGCATGTTGGTCTCTGCCAGGGCTACCCTTTGTCACTGGTTCTGTTCATTACATTTATGGACAGAATTTCTAGGCGCAGCCAGGGACCGGAGGTTGTCTGATTTGGGAACCTCAGGATATCAACTCTGCTGTTTGCAGATGATGTTGTCCTGTTGGCCTCATCAAACTAGGACCTCCGACATACACTGGGGCAGTTTGCAGCCGAGTGTGAAGCGGCTGATGATCAGGATCAGATGCCTTCAAAAGTGAGGCCATGGTTCTCCACTGGAGAATGGTGGACTCCCCTCCAGTGCAGCGTTGTCAGTGATGTGGTTGCTGTATGTCATGTTGAAGAGGGAGCTGAGTCTCGGGGGCAAAGTTCTAGATCTACCAATGGATCATCCTCACATATGATCATGAGATCTGGGTAATGACCGAAAGGACAAGATCACGAATAAAAGTGGCAGAAATTTTTTTCTTTTGTAGGGTAGCTGGGTGCACCTTTCGATATCGGGAGGGGCTCGGTTACCTGGGGGAGTTCAGAGTTAGGTCGTTGCTCCTCCACGTCGAAAGGAGCCAGCTGAGGGCCTCTGTTTCTCTGGCATCTGTTTCAGATGCCTTCTGGCATGTGTTCCAGGCATGTCCCATTGGGTGGAGTCCATGTGGAAGGCCCAGGACATGCTATAAGGACTATGTCTCTGAGCTTGCCTGGTTGTTCTTCAGGGTATGGATCGGGAAGTCTGGGCATCTTTGCTTAGACTGCTGCCTCCATGACCTGGCCACAGATAAGCAGAGAAATTTGACCTTTTATCACCAAGCTGCTTGGTAATTTTCCAGTAGCCCTTTCCAGCCTTGTGGACGTGTACAATTATGTCTCGATTGTTTTAGGACAGCTCTTTGGTCTTGGTCATGTTAGTAGTTGGATTCTTACTGATTGTATGTGGTGGACAGGTGTCTTTATGCAGCTAACGACCTCAAACAGGTGGATCTAAACTAGGATAAAAAATGGAGTGGACGTGGACATTTCAAAGGCAGACTAACAGGTGTTTGAGGGTCAGAATTCTAGATGATAGACGGGTGTTCAAATACTTCTTTGGAGCTAGGGTTAGGGTTAACCTACAATGACGATTTCAGATCTTTGGCCAATGTTTCTGTCACCCTAATTCCTGCACTGCTCAAGCCACCCCTGACAACACTAGCCTACCAGCTCTGTTCTGAGTTGTCAGCCAAAAACATTGTTCAGAAAGTGTTTGATGGAAACCTTTTTTGCAGCCTTGACTGTCCAGTTGTCGACAGTTTCCTTCAAGTTCGGCCAACAAAAGTAAATGCTCAGCAAATGGTTAAATACACTCCAATCATCGAACACACTGCAGGCACATAAATAGTGCAAATTCCAAAACAGACAAGCAGAACAACAAAGTGCAACATAAACAGAAACGCTGCAAAAAAAGGGCTGCATTCACAGAAAATATAATGACACCATCTCTGAAACACACACAAAATTGTTGCAACACAGAAAATAAGGACAAAATATAATAAAAAGTAAGACTAAAAATCGAAGTGTCTTTTGTAGCGTTTCCCCTTTGTCTAATGTGATTGTTTTTGTTTTGCACTGTTTTTAAATTTATGTGTTTTGGTGTTGGCATCACTACTGGACCATTTTTGACAAAGCCATGTCCTTTGATGAGGATTTGCATCTATCAGATGGTGTAATTTACCATCAAAGACAGCATAAAGCTTAGAGTTGGTTGCTTAGGCTGTTAGTCAATTTGCACAATTCAAGTAAATCCAGTAGGCCAGACCTTTGTTTGCATAGGCTTATCTTCTTTTCCATGAAACTGAATACTCCATAACAATTACCCTCATATTCATTTTGTGTGTTACATTGAAAAGCAAAATAAAAACAAAACTAAACTAAACTGGCCCTGATTAGACAAGGAGGAAATAAAAACAGCCTGCAGTGTTGGAAACAACTCTAAAGTCAACACAAACAAGCCTTTACCAAACACAGAGGCGGGCTTTCGGTTTTTAGATTCCAGCAATAGCTCTTCTTTTTACAAGAATTCTTAAGAAAAAATCAAAGTGGTACTGTACAGTGATTATGGGCTTTTGTAAGTCCATGATTGGCAGTTAAAGATAATCATGCCAACAACAACTAGAACAAGACGTGGCATGCATGGTGGTATTTCTCGGTAACAGAGCAGTCCTACACTTTGTATCAGAGATGTTTTTGGATCAAATGCCCCATACTACTTGCTCCAAATATCATGATATAAATTCTTTGTCTAACATCAAATATAAAAATTGTGATTAATAGGAATGTTTTGAGAGAATAGACACTCTTGAGGATTTATACCACATACATTTTTTCCTCATTTTATCACTCCACAGTTTACTTCAGGCGGAAATTGTGTTGGAAATTTAAAATTACAGACCAAAACATAATAGCACACCAAAATATATGTGGGAAGAAGAATGTTACCTGTTGTCCATGTGTAGCTTTCACAAATATTTGGCCCTGCTGACTCAATTGTTTTAATGGGTTTAGTTGCGTTTTAGTCAGTTTTATGTTGCAAAAAAAAAGTTAACCTTTGCATTTTCGAATAACAATCACATTCTGTACCAGACTGACAGCTCTTGCCTAGATACTACAATTGCTGGGTATAGAAATCTTTCATGCAGTTCATCACTGGTGTTTTTGATTTATAGAACTGAAATTATCTTTTTAATGAATCAATGCCCTACTTTATACAAAAATGTGTCACAAAAGTTGTGATGTAGTTGCAGATCTAGTTTAACATATATTGGTTA